CTATTCCTTATTATAAAAGTCAGTATTTATCATTATTCATGTATGAATATTAGCTTGTATTCAATGTTCAAATGACTCTTCCAAATTACAGTTGTACAATCAAAGAAAAAACTCTGAGAGGAGAAGAAAGTTCTACTTGAAAAATGAATGATAAGAAATACCAGTCAATGGGTAACTGTCTCTACGCCGCGTGCTCTAAGCCGCTTCGCCACTAAACTGACTAACACACTGACAGAGGAATTCCCTTCTCTTTCTGAAATCACAGAAAAGAACAGAAAGAAATCCTTGGCCATTGGGGCTTGATGCAAAGCCTTACCAAATCAAATGTGAGTTTTCCCCTGGGGTCAGTTTTTGTCTTTCTGCTCCCTTTGACTGGTTTGCCATAGCGCACACACACAGAATGGAAGGCGCAGGCGAGCGGACCCTGCCAGCGTGATGGAGTTTGGGGGAATGGGAGCAGGTGAGCAGGCAGCTCAAGCAAATGCATTCATTTACACTTGTTTACTCTAACTAGATCCAAATTAATTTGTGAAACATCCCCTTTGGGCCTGGTAGGCTGTTGAAAGCAAAAGAACATTTGTTTCTTCTACAGACACTTACACTAATTGCTAGGTTCGCATCTGCTGGGCTCCTCTTCTCATGGTGGGCTCCTGTCCCCCGTATCCCCACCTCTGCAAGTGTACCACAGTTACATGTTCTCAAAGACATTTTTGTAACTCCATGCTATGGCAATGCAATCCTGACATGTAACTGTATAGGTACTGGCAGCATCTCTCATCTTTCTTGTGAGAAACTGAGACTGACAATGACAAAATTTTGTCTCAAAATGATTTTTTCTGTTTTTATAACAAGCACTACAAGCACCATCCTGCTTCCCTAATGAAGCAGTTCATTTTTTGCCTAAAAGATGGTATAGATAGGATAACACCATTTCTCAATACCATTTCAATTAGATAATATGGCAATCAGAAAATACTCACATTTTAACTATAAAACTATTATCATGACTGAACAGAAGAATAACTACAGAATAGGGAAAGTAAATTCACATGGCTGCTTCGCAAGCTGCAAACTACTTCCATTACACTCAGACATTTAGGAAACAGAGAAACTGGACCTCCTTCAGTCAAGCAGGTGACTATTTCCCTGCATCTGCCTTTTCTTCCTTATCTTACACCTAATAGGTGGTTTGATTTGCAATAGCATTAAAACAAAGGCTTTGGTAAGAACACATTGGACTCTGCTTCCAATAAGCAGCAGTAACTAATAGCGAAGTACAAATAATACAGAAAACAATAAATATCAAATTGATAAAACAGAGAAAAACAGTGCAACAAAGACAGGGATTTAGAAAATTCTACAGGTGTAACTTGATTAAAAACAATACAGGATTTTAAAATATGCAATTGTGTAAAAAAGAAAACACACGGTAAATTCTTCCAAAATATATGTTTACCATAAAATAAAAATAATATTACTTCTGCTGCTGACAATCAAACAAAATAAATATTTGACGATATCTGCAGTAGTTATGCAGCTTTGTAGGACTGCTGGTGTTAATTCCAAAAGAGTCTTCATAAAATACCAGATGCAAGCTATCCCTATGTCTATTGCATATGTGGAAAAAAAGTAATGGGTTAGAAGGAGTAAGACAAATTTGAAGAAAATAATTAAACCCATTAATTCAACAGAATTGGGATTTGTATCTTACTAGCAGTTCCGCTCTGACAAGTTGCTCCCCTGAAGGGATTCTTCACTGTCCAATTAGCAAATCTATTCTGTCCAAATTGTCAGCTAAATAACCTGGAAAAAGTTAGTGATGGACTATTAAGGGAAGCTGAGAACCAAGAGGAAGGTAAAGGAAAAAAGTGAAAAGGGGGAGAGAGACAGGGGAACCCCCCCCTCCTGGTAAACCCCGCTCCTGCCAGCAGCCCCCAGCAGTGCAGATGCTGCACAAGGTGAATGCAGCATTTTTCCATCACCAGGAGGGGTGGCCCCTGGGGACCAACAACGTGGGATTTTTGGTGGCTCACACTCTTCTGTAACAAATTCTTTATATGTGAAAAGTTGTGACTATTTAATGATATTACATTGATCTGCCCAGGTAAACGCATGGAAAAACCTGCATGCAGATTTATTTACATCCATTCACACCATCCTAAACTTCATTTACAATTTAAGTTAAGAAGTCCTCAACATATGTGACAAGTTGAAGTAATCTATACACATCCTTTGGAGTTAATTTACTGAAACCAGAGCAGTATTTCTGATACAAGACAGGCCAAAATCAAACCAAACTTGGAATGAGGTTAATGCAGACTGAGAGGGAGCTCAGGAGCCCTCTGCTCCAACCTCCTGCTCATGGCAGGCTCAGCTCTGACGTCAGACCGGGCTGCTCAGGTCTTCATCCAGTCAGGAGTTGAAAACCTCCAAGAATGGAGACTGCATCACGTCTATGGACAACTTGTGCCTCTGCCTCACTGTCCTCGCAGGGGAGAAAATGTGTCCTTACACCCAGGCTGAAACTCTTGTGTTTCAACTAATGATGTCCACCATCTCTATCTTCCCATTTGGCCTCACTTTGGAGAGCCTGTCTCTGTCTCCTCCATGACGTCCCCACAGGCACCGGGGGCTGGGTAGGTCCTCCTGAAGCTGTCTCTGCTCCAGGCTGCACAAGCCCAACTCCCCCAGCCTCTCTTTGCAGGAAAAGTGCTCCAGCCCCACCATCTCAGGGGCCTCCCCTACCATTTGTCCAATGTCTTTCTTGTAGCAGGGAGCCCCAGGCTGGGCGCAGGATTCAGACACAGTCTAATGCCTGACGAGTAAAGGAGATTAATTGTGAACAGGGTACAGGTTCCTGGGACGAGGACAACCCACTTGATTCCTTTAGCTACCTTTTCCTAATGCTTTCCAGTTGTTGTTGCATTTACCAACTGATAATTTTGTGTGCTTCAAATCCTAAGCAAATGTCAACTGAAATACATTTTTTGTCAAGCATCTCCTGGCCAACTTGTAGCTGTGAACCTGGGTGGGAACCGGTGCTCCAAGGTGAGCTCTGCGGTATGCCAGACCCTGCGGATGAGCTGCTCACCACACAGGATGGCTCTGGCACTCTCCAGAATGCTTTTTCCCCCTCAGAAAGTGATTCCCTCACGGCAGAGCCCTGCCTCTGCAGCAGGTGGTTGCCTACACATGAATTACAAGAGAGTGCATGTTATTTCTTGTCTATTTACTTCCACTGACTTCCACAAATTATTCTTACCGGGGCACTGGTTTCTAAAGCCATATTATGTAGTGCTACCACTAGACTACCACACTGGAGCACAGAAGTTAACACCTTTCTCATTAAAATATTTTATTCATAAGCAAATAATAAAGATGGAGGCAAATATTTGATGACATGATCAAGTTTTAAAGTATCTCAGAATAAACAGAAGCAAGGTGAGCTAATTAGTTACGACAATGTCCTATGCTCATAGAAAAACAGGTCTAATCCTGAAAGTATTGGAACCTTCTATGGCCTTGTCTGAAATACAAAAACATATATAAAATTAGGAAATCAGCCACACAATTAATCTTCTATTGCTTAATAAGGCATCAGGAGTAACGATTGACCTCCCCAACTTCAGATGTCTAAATGCAGGTTGTGGCAATAAAAAGCAATAGAAGAAACCTGACAATTTCAAGTCTATATTGGGATAAAATAAATCGAGCTTACATATTTTCCTTTCTCTTCACTGATTACAAAGGAGCATGGGATAACCTCAGCATTATGCCCACCACCCCATGTTTCCCATCCATAGATGTCTTCTCGGCCCACCATTTATGTCAAGCAATACAATCTATTTTAGGTCTCTTTTACTGTGACCTAAGCAGAAGTAAGTGGGATTGGTATGTTCACACAGACGTATCTGCTCTTCAGCTCAAAATGGTAACTAATTAAGTTTCAGTAACTTGTTTGTGTGCTGCACCCTCTGTAAAAAAACAAGATTTGAAATGCCCCTGAGCTGAGCATTAGCAAAATGACAGCTTAACACTTCTGCATCTGTGCTTCAACTGAAGCTACATGACCAGTTAGCACGAATTTAGATGCTTAATTTGAGCACTGTGGGTGCAATGCACTGTTTCAAATTACTCTTCCTATCTGCATAACAATACTGCCCCAAGGTTCCAGCTAAGATCAAAGTCCAACTATATTACAGGGTACATAAATTCGTAATAACACCTTGGCTGCTGTGGACCAAAACACGCCACTGCAGCAACTGAGGATATTACTACTTCCAGGTGTATACTGTGTCCTTGTATGCGGAGGAGATGGTGCGTCTCCATAGGAAGGGCAGCGGTAAAGCATAAATGCTACATCTAATCCACTGCACCGTTCCCTCTGTGGGGGAGCAAAACAGCAGATACCTGGGGTCCCTTCAGCTACAGCTGTTAAATTCAGAACAGCTGAGTCCTGAAGAAGCACTCCTTTCTTCAGACAATGTACAAATAGGCATGGCAACAGAGAGGTGGACTGAAGTAGCCTGGGAGAAGTAACGGAGTAGCCTGGGAGAAAGTCCAGACGAATCCACTACACCATACTGTCTTCCAAACTAGCTACTAAATCAAAATCTCTTATTTTTCATTTTCATTTCTTAAAATGGGGCACATATTTCATAGAGTCATAGAATCATAGAATGGTTTAGGTTGGAAAGGACCTTGAAGATCATCGAGTTCCAACCTCCCTGCCATGGGCAGGGGCACCTCCCACTAGACCAGGTTGCCCAATTTATGCCCCATTTATGCAGCAATGCCAATGGCCAGCATCAAACACCTGACTTAAGCTGGGGGCAAAGCCATGGGGTATCAAGTGCATGATCTTAAAGACTGAGTAGGTCTCTGGAAAGTTTTACAGAACCAAAGGTAGGGGACGAAGGGGGAATTCTGCTCTATTTACTCCAACTTAGATCATCATACAGGTACAGAAGCGCCAAAAAGAGGTAAAGGAGGAGTTATTCTTTCCCCTACATTGTGGAACAGTCACAGAGCTAAGTTGCAAGTGACCCTTACTGCTGTTGAGGTCTCAGCTCACCAGCCAGTGAATCTCCTCTTTTGCTCAACTCGGCCTTCTCCTATCTACAGTCAGTGCTTTACAAATTAACCTCGCTGTCACAGTGATTGGCGGGTGAGGGCTTATTTTCTCCAGTGACAAACAGCTGATGTTTGCCTATTTCAGATCCCTGCATAAGCAAATATTGTTCAAGTGCTGAATTCCTATGCAAGCTGAAAAATGCATTATTTAAAACATGATTGTGTTCTAGCATTGCACAATATTAATATTGCTAAAGCTACTTAATGCTTACACATCTAATGCATATATATAATAATTTGATAAATTTTAACTGCTTTTTAATAGTTGTTTCCAGTTATTCATTAATTATGTCATGAAAAATTTGGACCAAATGTTTCATTGGCCTCTACATTTGTGCATATCATTGGTTGCACGTTCAGTCTCCTCTTCTGCATGACCAAAAATTGCCACTTTTTATGAAGATCTGCTCTTCATTTGGTCTCTCCTGTTAGACAAGGTGCATCCCAGTCAGATTTCCTTTCTTTTTTCAGTTTGGCAAGACCAGTGAGACATTCATCTCTCCATTTTCTCCTGGTATCCAGGACTTTTGGAACAGCTGGAATTTTTTCAGACATTGCCTGGAACAGAAAATTTAAGATGATTAAATCTCACGTTCTGCATAAAAAGTTCCTCACCAGCATAATTTTCCTGCTTTTCCTGCTTCAGACCAAGCAACCATCCACACAAACTGTAACTCAGTCTATCACAAGCAATAGGCCACTAATTCTTTACATGGGTGACTGGAAATGAGCTAACCTCCATGAGAAGGAAAGTGGAGAAGGTTGAATGTGGCAATGAAGATGCCTACAGAAACACCAAAGCATCAGCCTCTTCTCTCGGTTTGCCCCACACAGCCACTGTCTTAGTCTCTTTAATAATAACCTTTTATTAAATAGGAAGGAGGCAACCTGGCCATTTATGTGGCCAAAAATGTGCTCTAAACCAAATTCCTGTGTGTATGTGTTTAAAGCTATGATCTCTCTTCTGGCTCCTAATAAATGTAATGAAGGATACCATGTTTATTAAAAATATTTTGTCTTGGGAGTGCCAGTTATAATCAAAATGACAGGGGAAGACACATCACAAACCCAGAATTATAATTTTTGTTGTCTATTGGAGTATGGGGGAGAGAAAGTACAGTACCATCTGAGGACACACAAGGTGGAAGTCTGAACAAGTTAGCACGCAAAAATGATATTTAAAACAAAATGGAAAAAAAAAAAGTATTTCTGAGTGTGTAATCAAAGTTGACTTAGAAGTGCCAGTTAAATGTATCATTGAAAGGGGAACAAGAGGTAGTAAGCTCTGGCCAGCTAGTACATTGTAACACGTTTTCTTTCAAAGAAAAAAAGCTGTTTTGAGAGTGCAGGTAGAGATCACAAGGGGATCTTTGCCAAAATAGCACCTGCGGTCTGTGGTTTAAAAGGCAAGTGTTGAGAAACTGGGTAAAACCTGGACCTGCTACCAATGACTGGCAAGTTGCAGTCACTCCAGAAAAAAGTCAGGGGGAGGGACAGAGGAGTAAGATAAGAAATGTTTAATGTTTGACTCTTAAGAGGATTCTTGCAAACCTATCTTTGGCATTGAAGACCAAAGATAACTGAAAGACAGAAACAGACGTTGAAGTGGAATCCAGCTTTCCTTAAAGAAACCCAAACTGTTTCATGCTAATCAAAAGCTTCTAATAATTAAGAACTCCAAAATTATTATTGATTGTTATTATAAGCAGGAACAAAAAAAAAAAAAAAAAGGGAACAAAAATGTTGACTTCCAGACAGAGTTTCCATCTATGGACAGCTATTCAAGAATGATTCTAAACATACACATGTTCTTTAGCGAAGCATTAAAAAAGGCAACTATGAAAAGGCAGAGTTAGGAAATAACAATACTTTAGTTAATTCCTATGACCATACAAAACAGCCTACATAGTGAATATAAACAAATTGCGGGCTTCGAAATGTTAATAGACAAACTGGGCCCCAATCCAGCATAGCACTTAAACATATCTTATCTTTAAACACACAAGTAACCTTACCGGACTGCTAATATGCTTAACTTAAACATGTATTTGGACGCATTACAGACTGGAGCTCTGGTTTGTATCGTATATAAAAACAAGAAAAAGAACATCCAGAAGAAAAAAGCTACAGGGTTGATGTAGGAAGACACAGGGAGACAAGTCATGTAAAAAAGGAAGCTTGGAGCTGTGCATATTATGGTAGAGGACACAGGACAAAAGTGGTAAGAAATAGCGTGGAAGATTTAATGTCAATAACCCATAGCTGTTAACAGTTGACTCCTCTGTCTAGTAATAATGTTACTCAGCTGCTAGATCACTTTCCCAGTTTCACACTGTCATAGGGCTTTGAAAAGGGACTTACGTGCATTCTGTACTGATCTTTTCATTCAAAGGACACATTCACACAAGAAATACGGACTAGATACCTCTTAACAGTAAACTGAAATGGAACAGATGTTAAAAGTTAACGTTCTTTGTTCTGAATGTCACTGTATTTATCAACTCCATATTTACCTGATTGACTTTCTGCTCAATTTCACCTGAAAATTCTGGAACTGGTCCAAAGGTGTTCAGAACACATCTCATACCTTCACGGTATCTTTCGCAATAATTTGAAATACCTAAAAATAAGAGTGAAAAATTGCATTTCAACAGAAATTCCTACTTAAGTTCAGTAAGGCTGCCTGTGCTCAAGCACTGCCTTAAATCAGAGTCCAAAAAAAAGGTGTGCTCTTTTGCTTAAGACACCTAATTGTCATCAAGGAAAAATGGATTCTATGCACCAGATTTCCTTTAAGGTTCATGGAAAAATCATTTAGGACATGTCTTTATTGCAAAACCAATCAATATTACATACCAGCAAGCAACGCTATGTGAGGGGTGTAGTACACAACCATGGATATACTCATGATTTGTTACTTGAGAGCAAAAAGCTTCCCCGACCAGCATCCACCAGGAGAGTACTCTCCTCTCCTCCTGTTTGGTATGTGTCATATCAGTTGAAACATTCCTGTTGTTACTTTTATTTATTGACCTGGAGTGTATCAAGAGCAACAGAGCTCAGGGGGAAAGGGTCAAAGGCATGGAGACCCAGCTGGTCTCCAGTGAAGGAGAAACACTTAAGGAGGAATGGATGGATCTTGCAGATCAACACCACGTATTGCAACTGGGGTTAGCAACAGGGATTTGGCTTTTATGACCACAGCACCCTCTTTGGGGGTTGAGCGCTGGTAGGGGGAGATGGGATCCACTGAACAAAGTGGGGAAAAAGCATCTTTGCCAAAAACCTGGCCAATCTGGTGAGAAGAGTTTTACATTAGGAACACCGGAAAAGTGAGATTACAACCTGTAGTCAAGTGAGGAAGGGGTGTATGGGAGTGGAAAGAAAAGAGCGCAACGTAAAAAGTACAAGAGAAACCTCAATAAAGTAAAAGAAAGGCAGAAGGAGTCCACCTCTAGCGTATGTGCACAGATGCATGCAGCCTGGGAAACAAGCAGGGGAAATGAGAGCTCCATGTGTGGTCACACAACTACAACACTGTTGGAGCAACTGAGGTGTGGTGGGACGGCTCGCACAACTGAGTGCTGCAGTGGACAGACACACACTGGAGGAAAGACAGACAGGGAAGATAAGGAGGGGTTGTGCTATCACCGTGAAGGAGCAGCTCAGATGTATGGACTGTTCTACGAGATGGGCAATTGGCTGGGTGAGAGCCTGTGGGACAGCATCAGTAGCGAGACCAGTAAAGGACAACATGCTCCAAGGGCAGGAACAGTCCATCCTGATATTCAGGAAGACGAGTAGATGTATCAAGAGATTGGCCTGGATGAGCTCCAGTGCAAAAAGGTAGCACACAAGAGGTGGAAGCAAGGACAGGCTGTAAAGGAGAAATTTAAAAACACTGCCCACGCATGTAGAGATGGTGTCAGAAAAGCCAAAGCTCAGCTCCAGTTGAGACTTGCAAGGATGTCAAGGGCAACAGAAGGGCTTCTACTGTCATATTAGTAATAGAAGGCTGAACAAGGAAAGTGTGGGCCTATTGCTGAATGGGTGGGTGATTTAGTGACAGGAGAAACAGGTAAGGCGGAGTTAGTCATTGCTTTCTTTCCTTCAGTCTTCATTGACAAGGTCTCCTATGCCTCTGTGCTTAGAGGCAGGGTTCAAGGAGGAGAGGAGTGATCAGTAGTAGATGACAATCTAGTCAGTGACCTGCAAGAACTCAGCCCCACCCGAGTCCACGGGATGAGACAGACTGTATCCAAGGATATGAGAGAAATGGCCCATGCCCTTGCAAGTCTGCTTTCTATTGTATTTTAAAAATCATGCCAGTCAATGCATCAACCTCATCACTTGAGATCCCCAGATGACTGAAGGCAAATATTGCACCCATCTTCCAAAAAGGTCAAAAGAACAATCCGGGCAAATCAATCTCACTTCTGTCCCTGAGAAAATCAAAGAGCAAGTCATCTTGAAACAAATTCTTGGGCACAGGAATAAGAAGACAGTGATTATGACAGTCAGTATCTAGTCACCAATGGGTACACCATAGTCTAAATCATGTCTGACTGACCTCGTTGCCTTTGGTGGTAAAATCAATATATTTGTGGAAAATAGTGAAGCAGTGGATATCGGGTACCTCAACTTTAGAAGGGCATTTGACACCGTCTCCTATGATATCCTGCATCAAAGTTAGGACATTAAAGTCTGCACGCTTTGACAACCAGATGGACAAAAAAATGGGTTGGATACTCAGGCTCAGATGGTAGTGGTTAAGGGGTCGTGCTGTACCTGAAGGCCAATGAAGGGGAGTACCACAGCAATCTGTCCTGAGACCTGTACTGCTTAACAGCATTTGATCATAAAGTTTGTGACTGATACCAAATTGGGCAGGGGTGGGAGGCGGGGGGAGGCAGACCAGCTGATACATTGGAGGGCAGGGCTGCCCTTAGACAGGCTAGAGGAACGAGCCAAAACAAAACCTTAAAAAATTTAACAAGGACACATGCAAGACCCTGCACCTCAGAAGGAAGAGCTCCTTGCAACAACACAGGCTTGTGAACCCCAAGAACTTCTGGTCCTGGTAGGCAACAAGCTGAATATGAACCAACAGTGTGTCCTGGCAGCAAAGAGAGCCAACAGCATCCTGAGCTGAGTTAACAGCACAGCCAGTAGGTTAAAGGAAGTGATTACCCGCCTTTACTTGGCATACTGCATTCAACTGGAGATCCCCCAATACAGGAAAGGCATTGACAAACCGGAGCAGCTTCAGCAGAGGCCACCAAAATGGTGGGGGCTGGACCACTTGCCCTGTGACAAGAGGCTGGGGGAGCTGGACTTGTTCAGCCTGGAGCAGAGATGGCTTTGGGGGGACCTAACAGCAGCTCCCCAGTGCCTACAGGGTGGTCATTGAGCAGACGGACCTGGGCTCTTTACAGTTGTTGGATGGCAGAAGGACAAGAGACAATAGCACAATTTGAAATGAGAGGTTCAAACTGGATACTCAAGCATTGGCACAGGTTGCCCACAGAGGTTGTGCAGTCTCCATCTCTGGGAGTTTTCAAGACTGGATGAAACCCTGAGCAGCTTGGTCTGACCTCAGAGCTGACCCTGCTGTGAACATCTTAAAAAACACGTGGTCAGAGAACCTGAGAACCAGCTAACTGGTAATAATGGGTAAAATGGCAGTCACGTAACCCTTGGCTGAATTAGGGAAAGGTCCACCTTCCTTCAGCTCCAGTAGGAATCTCAAAAAAATGACTGTTGAGGCACTAGAGAGGAACTGGAATGATAAATGCACCAAAAAGAAATTGGTCATTTAGCCAGACGTATATATCTCGTAGAATTTTTAGTGCTATTAACTACCACATAATCAAGAAAGGATAAGGTGGCCTTTCCCACTGTACATCAATCAAGAAGCCATGAGCTGCACCAGAACAGCAAATGAGCAATGCTTCTCTGGCAGTAAGCACGCTGACACGAGTAAGAATGTGATTATCCTGAGGAACACCCTAAATCTGAGAAGGATAGCCACTAAAAGCTTGTGAAGACCTCCCTTTTCTGAGAACCATAGAGACTGAAGAATTTGCGTCCTTAACTCTCTTTTTATTAGCTAATTATCAAAGCAAAGAGAAAAAAGCTGCAGAAGACAAGGGCAAGCAGTTACGGTCACCAACTCTTCCATGAAGACTCAGGAGATCATACAGACCGAGAAGCATGAACCTGAACTGTTCATGGTCTTATCCAACCACAAAATGCAGGAAATGTAAGTGGGGTGGCCTGACTACCACACAAAAGAATGCAACTCTGGTCAAGAGTCATTAAGCAGTCTCTTTCCTGAACAGCTCGTAGACAGTTCCCTGGAATGTAATACTGGGTGATATCAATACCAAAGAAGTCACACCTGTCCAACCCTAAATGGATGAGATTGAATGGTAGATGATTGAGAGGAAACCACTGACTACTGGCAACTATGAATCATAAACTAAAACACTTATATACAACACTTGTACTGCTCAACAGGCCTGAAATCGCTGAAGTACAGGTTTTCCAAAAGGCCTCTAAGGTCAGTAAGAGTATGGAGAACTCTCTTGTTTCTGGACCAAAGACAGAATAACTTTCAAAGGACAGGTGCTCAAGAAGGATTAAATTTCCTTTAAGAAATTAGCACTCTGAAGTTACAATGACCATCAGATAAACAACAGAAAGGACAGAATGAGAGAACATGTCCACTGCATGACAGCAACATGGAGAAATTTGAGAGTATTCAACTCTCTTAAAAAATGGACTAGAAACATTCTCCAGCATTAGAAGGAAGGAGGCTCTGAGAAAAATAGCAGCCTTGTTAAGTAGCTTGGACCTATATTTGGTGCCAAGAGTGTGCCAATCAGCATTTAGTCAGCCAGTTTCCTTGTGTTATCTACCCACGGAGTATATGTATTCCTAGAACACACTCTGGCATGTTCTCGCCTTCTCCAACCCAAAAAAGGGAGGTCAGCCGGTCATACAGGTATATCGGTGCTCTAATTATATGGAAATTTAGTATTTTGCTCAATTTTCTTGATTGACACACAGCCAGAAACCTTCAAATTACCTAGCGGGCTCCAAAACATCACTGGCAGGAAGTGAGATTCAGGAAGAGAAGCATTACTGTGGGATGTGGAATAGGCTGTGATATGATTCTATCTCTTCACTGAAGGAATAAGCAAAGACCATCCTTCTCCCTAAACACTCTGGAAAGGACCACTGGTTATCAGGGTTTACTGACCATACCCTGTCATTCTCATAAGTGCTTGCCTGTTACATCTCATCAGCTGGGCTCACAGACTTTGGCACCTGAAGCCAACCCAGATCAACCTAGAGGGGATATGCTATTTTGCATGAGCAATCTTGGGAACCCAAGACAATTCTGGATGCGACTCATGCACCAGCCACAAGACAACGCTATGTATATTTCACCTTGCTTGTGTGAGCTTTTTCAGCTAACAGGGAGGAGTCTGATGAAAAAGTCTGCCCCCACATCATGCAACACCATACGAAGTTCCCAGAGGTAGACGTAGAAATGTCTGAGGCTGAAGAGTGCAGAACTATGTGGACTTGGATACACCTTGCTGACACACAGCT